GAAAATTTCAGGAAATTTTTTGAAGGAAAACGTTAGCCTAATCGATACATACTAAGGTACCACAAAAAAGGAACAATCAACATAAGCATGTTCAATAAAATTAATCAATTTTGATCAGATATATGCTTTTCTGGGCATAGCCTCCCTACAATAGTGCCCCTTCTGCATTATCGGATTCCATTTAAATCTCGTATCCAACCCTTTGGTCCGCGGAAATTAGAGGTGTGAGAAGATTTTGAAACCCTGGAATGGCGCTGAGTATTTTCCAAGTTGCGCCTTTGATATACACCCCAAGTTGCAGAGATCCGTTTGGAGCTCCGACTGCAATTATTTTTTCCCTTTTCGCAGCGAGGAGAGGTGACGTTAAATAACTCGTTCATAAGGACCAACCAAGACGCTTGCTCCTCTTGCAATGAATTTATACGTTTCCACTGATCACGTAGCACCGTGATGTGGCGCGCGGTGTAGAAATTATGCCTCCTTGGAGTGTTCCCGCGGCCAGTGAAATATGCGCTAACACTGCGGTGATTTCCTTTCCGCGATAATTTCACACCCTCGAGACTTCCTAGTATCGTTTTTCCAAACATGTTGCAAGGTTTGTTGTTGGGCAATGTTGGAAGAAAAAGTGCGCATACGCGTATTTTATCACTTTCTTTTGAAGCCGTCCACAGGAGACATGATTTTTGAGAGACTTGGAGAACAAGGCGCATAAGAGTAGTTGCTGAGAAAATTGAGATATTCATGAACTCAACTAAAACTAGTTTCAAAATATATTCTGAGAAAAATTCAAAACTAAATTCCAACCTTGAAGCATCAAAAAGTGGGTTTAAACTTCCATTCTGTCTTAAGGTTCGATGTAATTTGAAACTGAAAACACGTAGTTCTTGAAATAATATAAACTGCGGTTACGCGCCTTGTCCTCCGAGCCCCTCATTTAACTCTGACGTCATTTTATTTGTTTACTTTGATCCCTAATTTCTCCAGAATATCGATGGTCAAAGTGCGAAACAACTTATTGACATCACGATGTATCAAAATCTCCGTTCCTACTTGGTTTTTTCCAAGAAAAATGAGCCTACTTTTTAGCTTGATTTTTTACAAAATATTCTGCTAACGGAGGAGAAAAATCAAGGGCGCTTTTCAAGAATTGCGTTGACCAGTAATCCCCCCCAAAAAAAAATAATAATAATAAAGAATGGCCTTAAACGTGCAATGTCGCAAACGGATTTACGTGGTTTCACACTTGGGTCATCGATATAGCTTAAAATATGTGGAGTTTATCAGGAAGCGACGGTACCTTTTTAACACTACTTATACGTGCCAAATCTATATAGCGCCTCCAATTAGTGCGATATGCAACACGCGCAGCTATCAAACACGAATAGTTGTATCAAAAGGCTGCGTGCTATAATTGAAGGCGCTTAGTTTGATCTTAGTGTATTCATTTCACCCGTAAGATGCGATTAGCGCCCTGTCATTTTACATTTCCCATTGATATCAGAAACATAAAAGAGAGAAGATAGGTTCTTGAGATTTTTAAAAACTAAGGCGAACGGAAGCATATCATATTTAAAAAAATAAATTTTGGCATTTTCAAAATTTAATATCTATTATTCAAGGTAAATTAGTGGCAATAGGGTATGAAACAGCAATGCACTTTTAAGGTTCAAATTTTGGTGGTGCCGCAAAATACTAATGAACGTATTTATGCCAAAAGGAACTATGTCTCACGCAAACCCTATGCACATAGTTCGTTTTAGCATAAATACGTCTAAATAATCCAGAAAAATTAGGCTTTTTCCTCTTGAGGTTGCCATGAGTTTGTCTATGGACCATTTTTCTTCCGTATAACTTTGATGACCAGACACGAATTCAAGTTTCGGGCATTTAGAAAAAAAATCTTGCCAAATTTGGGTTTCTCTTGATACAAAAGTCGAAAAATATCTCACCTATACATATGTAACTGTTGTTTTTTTTCAACCGAATGAGTTGATCGAATTCATTTAGTCAAAATGAGATTCTCAGCAAAAGTCTTTTTCGATCGACTAAATATAGACACCGCTGAAGAGAGATGCGAAAGTCGAATGTACGTCTACCTGATAGCGATGGACTCTAGTATAACGAGGGAAGAGAGGGGGATTCATGTATCCTCCCCATCCTGTCCACCTTCCGTTTTGAAGAGGGTTTCAGGAACACATGGATCAACTGACGAGTAGATAGGCTCTCAACTGATTGGCCGCTAAGCTAGGAAATTAAAATTAATTTAAAGGCTGTAATAGGGCTTACGGTTTAACTAGTAGGCTCCTCAACTTTAACCGTCAACTTTGCGTTGCAATGAGTTTTCATTAGTTCAATCCTCGTGGACAGGGCTGCCAAATGTATACAGTAATAGTTACAAGTACTTGAAGAACGGATACACTATACGATAAGTTGAAGTATGGTCGTGAAGAAATTATGGGAACTACGAGAAAAATAGAAATAAAAATATCAGTGTGACCGAAAATATTTTTAAATAGCAATTTGATGGCTGTAGGTCGTTAATTATTAACATTAAAAATGTTTTTCATGGAATTTTGTTTGGTGCGGAAATATCTATAGAGACAGATCGAGTATTTCTTGTTATCAAAATTTATTGTCGTTACGATTTCACTAATTCAACGATATTTAAAGGATTGATAGTTTTAAATTTATTAAGATTACTTTTTATTTTAGCGAAATTTTCTAGATGAGTCAATTTTTGTTGATTTGATCTATACTGCCCCCCTAAAGCAAGAACGCAATCTTGACTTGAATTTTTGCTTGATTTCATGGCATCGTGTGGACAAATCCCAAGAGTTTATCTTCACGTTTACATGTTTATACAAGTTAAATTCGGGTCATAATTTTGGCATAAATTTATTTTTAACGCCAAAATACAGAACTCACGAAGAAAACAAGCACTAAAAATAAGAGAAGCTGCATGAGTTCTTCCCTAGCAAAGTAGTATGGGAGGATTTGGTAAGGCGTTTGACAGCAGCGCTTGCGGATGAAGCTAGTACTAGTTCCGATGAAACTTCGAAATAGAATATGAGTAAGCGCCCCCTCTCCTCTACGTTTCCAATTATAGTTTGCACCCCCACCCTCCCCTCCCCACATCCATCCCTGCCTTTCATTTACCTTCGTTTAATTCATTCCTCATTAGAGCCAATTAAAACCGGGAAACCGTCAGTTTTCTCCGCTCGGGGCGCTTTTCACGACAAACGCGAGTGAGGGTGCGACGAGGTTAAAAAGTGTGGGAGGCACGCAGAGAGTTGCGCCAGTTACTAGTCGTGTAATTAAATTTTGAAACGTCAATCTCAGAGATCAGCCAAAAATAATATTATCCTCGGAGACAATATATTTTAAGAGATCTTGCACCAACAATCTAACCAATATAATTTGATGAGGCAAAATTTAAATTCGGAGGTCAACGCTACATTTCGCCCGTTGATAATAATCGAAGAACAACTGGATTATATTTTGCAATAAGGAGCCATTATTTCCGGTTCCTCCATAAAATCACGTTTCAGCATAGGAAAACCAATGGCATATATGTTGTTTCTAAAATGAGCCAGAAATAGTGGTTCCTTATTGCAAAATGTAGTCCAACTTGTTGAGCATAAACTCAAATGGACGTATTTCTGTCAAACGGAACTGTGTGCATTAAGACATGATCCCTAGGATCCATAAGAGTACATGCATAACAGGGCTCACGTCATAATGCACATAGTTCCGTTTGGTAGAAATTCGTCCAAATCAAATAATCTCTCGCTCCCTTCCTCCAGAAATCATGACATCTAAAAGTGAAACCACAATTCCTTTCTGTGGGGGAGCTCGAATTGCCTACTTTGGAAAATGAAGGCAAACTGACAATGAGTTGTCTAAAAATACTTGCCCGCGGTCCCTCTGTGCTCTAATATCAATGACTCGAGTTTAAATTTTTTCTATACACATCCCTTCCTTTTCTCCTACCTTTTCCTCGTAGATGGTCCCACCTTATCAAAGTCTATGAAAAATTCAATAATTTTTTCGTTTGAAATTTTGTGAGAAACAGGTTTTCCTGACTCAAAAATAATATTTGCCTATGAAATACTCACTTGCTCCGGAAATTCAATTTTTTTTACGAGTTATTTTCCCTTTTTCTTTATCGGTCATTGCCACTCGAGCTGCGCTTTTATTCAACATATTGAAAATTATCCATTGAATATGATTGTAAGATCATGTCATCGATGAAGTATTGTCTCCGATAGTGCAGCAACTCTGTCGATTAGACGCCCCGAATGGACGGATGCAAACGAAAAAAGCCTGGGTAATTGCATTCCACGTTACCTACTTTCCTCATACATTTGATTTTATTTTTCTGTTTGAAAAATAAAAATCAGGCAACCTCTCATGTAGTCAGGCTCATTTCAGTTAAGTCCGAGCAAATAATAGTCATTGCCGCCACTACACCACCGTCCTGAGGAAGCACATCTCAGGGACATTTGACAAATTTGCTGTGGATTGTATAAAAAATGCGTTTTTAAGGAAAATCATACTCATTGATCCATGAAATGGAAAATTTGCAGGTGTCTGAATTTTTTTAAATTTTCTTTTTTAAAATGAGACTATTAAGAAAACTGATTACGAGGTTTCTAAATTGAACAATTATTGAAAAAGATATGACAAAATAACCTAATTTGCTAAAATACACGTGTTTAAATGGAAAATGCCCCCAGAATCTGGGATGACCCAGATGACTTCATAAGGTGGCACATTTTCTCAATTTTACATACATTTTTCTCCAATTTCCCATGCCCGGAAAAAATTATGAAAAATACCGCAAACTCAGCTCATACAGCATAGATGAAGCAATAACATTTTTGTGAGCAAATTCTCCATTTTCAAAAATGAAGATTATATTGTGAGCGAAACTGTCTGAAAAATTTGATAGCAAATATGCACAATTTGCCCAGTAAATTCGCATTTAATGAAGGAAATATTGCAAGGTCTGAAGGCTCATACGGCTTTTTCCTGAGGACGGCGGCAGTATGGTTGCTCTATCTGGTCGAGCACAGTTTGCAATCGCGACACGCGCGTCAGTGATAACGAGGCTCGACTCCATTGATCATGATTTCGGCCTTCGGCTCTTTAACGCTCGCTTTCGCTCTTGTTTCCTCGGTGAGTGAAATTCAAATCCGCCTCCACATTTCGTACCGTCCTCGTTGAGCATTATTCGGCAGTGGTGTCTTCTACATGTCAACAGTGAAATCCTACAACCACGTATCTCGTTTGTGGTGTTCAAGAGCCTCCGCTCCTTTATTTTTTATCTTGCTAAAGGACGGCAAATCAAAATCAGACTCAATCAATTTTAGACTCCAGGAGATATAGATCCTATACGTATAACGGTATTTTGGTAGGGCCTCAGAAATTCCGAGGACCAGAAAAAATACTGCGGAGAATTTTTCCAATTTAATTTGATTATCATCTTTGACGATGATGGTTTGTCTTGGGCAAAATTTTACCCAGAATTTCAGAATTTCTTCATCGAATCGAATTAAGCACCAGCAAAAGTGGATATATTTAACTCAAATTCAACAAAAATGTTCTTTTACCAAGTGGCATCGATATCCACCTGGAGAGAGTAACACTTCAACATAGGCGGATCCAGACATTCCGAACGCGGGTAGTGGGGAGGGGAGATGTCGGAAGGAGGGTCCAGGGGTTTTTCGTAGAACATTTCTGAAATTTAAACGCATCTAAAATACACTTTGAGTCAATTTTGTCATGAATAATTATAAAATTTAAGAGTACCTCCTTTCTCTTTCCATCCGTCCCCTCTTTCTTTCTCTTTTCTTCATCCTTTTTTTAGGCCAATAGAGAGGGCGCAGGCCCCTACGCCCCCTCCTTTTGGATCAACCTATGTGTTTCAACCTTTTTTTTTTTTTTTTTTTTTTTTTTTTTTTTTTTTTTTGTTTGACGCACCCTAAGGTAAACTCCCATCACAGACGGAACGTTCCGAAGAAAATGATCTGCAGGCATGATCATTGAAATTGGTGAACGAGGCGATGGACAAAAAAGACTTAGGGAGTACGGAAGGGAGTCGGGTACCGGGCCTGGTTGAGTTGACTTAGAATGCCCCTCTATACTTCTTATGTTTTCTTTGTCTATCGCTTTGTCTATCGATTTCAAAAATCGGCTCCCTGATTAAGAAAGTCTAAATATACGGCCTAAACGAAAGCTTAGGCTCAAATCATGAAATCAAATCACCAAAAATTTCTCGAGCCTCCCCGTATTGTTCAAGGCAATTCCATGTTGCCACGGGAAGAGCCTCGGTCAACTGGTGGAGGAATTTGAGGACATCGAGGATGAGCGGAGGGACTTGCTCAAGGATTCCCTGAAAACTATCGAAGTCACCGAGAACCAGGAAGCAGTGAGGTATCTGGTTCGTCTGGCAGAGGCACATGTAACCTTGGCCAGACTCCGGAGATACTTGCAGGCCGCAGAAAAGGTCCTGTACGCTGCCCACTCGCTCAGATCGGAGCATGGACTCCCAGATGTTAGAGTAACGGTGAGTACAACCAAGATTCACCCGTGACAAGCTGAATCAATGGAATATATGGATCGCATTCAGCAAATAAGAACCAGCGCGAATACAGTGTTTTCAAAATCGTGCAACTTCTTCTTTCATTTTAAAAATACTTACTAGCAGTACAGTATTCAAATTTATACAATTATTTTCCTTTAAAATTAACAATTTTTTGGTTGGAAGCAAAAAATATATGCTACTCTCGGAGATTTTTTTGTAAAATTATGGAGAGTCAAAATTTTTACAGCAATGTAATCGCGCTGGTTCCTTTTTGCTAGACGGGATCCATATGGACCGCGTTGAGCAGAATCAAGCCACATCAGCTATTGTTAATTCAATTGGGCATTTGATTTTTTACGAGAGAACGTTTGTGTGGATTCCATCAAAAATTGTGGATTCCGTTGAAAATATTAGGGCATTTGTTTCGTTTTATTGCAGGAAATTCACTGAAATTTGCACAAAAAGTGGTTCACCGAAGTATTATTTTGTCGAATACTTGCATTAGCGCTCCATTCAAACTGTTGCGCGTCAAAAGTTGCGATGCTGCTAAACTTTTGCAATTTTCATAGAATTTGCAGCAATTGGAATCCACTCACAGAAACAATGGTGATGAAAAATTCTGAGCTGATCCAGAGAAAAATTCACGGCAGAGCTTTTGGAAACTTCAGGTACCTGTAATTACAGAACTACGTCTCGCAATCCTGGAGGCATTGGAAACCTCATATGTTTTTAACCGAGGAAGTCCTCAATTTCTATTTTGAAGTTGGGATGCGAACCAGATTTTGTGACCGAATCGGTAGAGCATCATGTATTCTTTCAGGCATTGAAGCCAACTGTAATATTGATGACCATAGTACCATAGTATCTCCACTTTGGACGTTGCAGACTCCCTGTCAAACTTTATTTTAACCTCGGAAAACTAGTCAACGTAATTTCTTGACTACCTCCTTGATTTTTCTTCTCTCTTACATTTAGTAGAACATTCTGTATACATTTCAAAGTACAGAGTTTGCAGATTTCTCTTCGAAAAAATAAATTTTTTCGATAAAATACCGGAATGGATATACTTGGTTTTGCAGTTTAGCCATCGATATGTGTTTATTTCGTAGGTCGCCAAGAGTAGAATCGAGAATGATGCCCTGAGAAACCTTTTGTCGAAGCTGTCGAAAATCTATTCCGAAACGAGTGACATTCAAGTTTGGAGCATGCCGTACATCGTGCGAGGTTTAGTACTGCCAGTTGCTCGCGCTTTCATTCACAGTGAAGAAAAACTCCTGGAAGTAATCGTGAAATTCCAGTCCGAGCTAAGTCGTGCCACCGAAAAGAAAAGCATCCTCCTGGTCAATTGACCGATCCCAGATGACCACGACTCCATTGATTTTTCCTCCATATTAAAACATGTTCTGGAAATCTTTGAAATACATGCACCCCGCTAAAAATTACGTTTTTTTTCTTTGTATTCATTGAAATCGAGTCAACTTCAATTCTACTTTCGAGTCAAATTTGACTAAAATACTGTAACCTTGAGAGGTGTACTTACAAGGGTTTGTTCGGCGTAGCATTACATAGACAGTGGCGATTTTTAAAGCTGGCAACACTGTTTTCCTTTCATTTAAATGTATTTAAAGCAATCGATTCTTAGTGATTCAGCTTACCTCACCTAAAATCAATAATTCTAATGGATTTAAATGGAGGTAAAACAGTGTTGACAACCTGCAAAATCGCCCCCTATCGAGGGTGGATGTAGATTGTGGATACTGCCGTGCTGAAGGAGAACGCCGTTATATCCTTTAGACGTTGCCATGTTTCCTTGTATAAAAATCAAATTTACTGGGAAAATTATGAATATTTTTCTTCATATTTCTCCGAGTTAGTTCAATAAGTTCAAGGAAAAACATGCATAACTTTTCTCAAAAATACATGCTTTAGCCGGAGAAAGGCGATTCTGAACTGTTCATAAGGCGTTCTTCCATAGAACGGCAGGATAGGTGTCAAAAACCCTACAATTTTTTTTACAATTACAACAAAAATTTTAAATAATATTGTATTCTTTGTAATCAACTATACTGTTTAATTCTAACAAGATAAGAGTGAAACTCTCAAACGAATCACGTTCTAGTCTGTGACATTGCAGATTTCCAGCTATAATTCAAGTTCCTTAGGATTATTGAAATGTGTCACCATAATCATAGAAAATTTCATCCAAAAATGTTCAGAAACATGTATAAATTTAAAAAAAAAATAAAATAAATAAAAAAATAAAATAAATAAAAAAATAAAATAAAAAAAATGAAGAAAAATTGAAAAATTTGAAACATCCCTACTTAGATCCGTGTTTTCATAGACTCACCACCATACATCATACTCCAACGAAAACTTTATACTTACCGAGAAAATTATTAAACCTGTAGGTTGCGACGAAAAAATGGTGATAAGGAATTGAGTTTAATGATAATTTGGAAATTCGAAAACATTTCGAGCAAAATAGACCAGAATTTATCTTCTGTGGAAAGTTCCCTCCACAAAACTGGACCCCTCGACCCCAATCTTATGGAAAACCGCAGAAAGTTAATGTGTCGCAACTTGTGAAACATCCCCGCAAATTCAAATTTGGCGCCTACTGATGCGCAACTTAAGAAACTTAAAAGACAGCCAATCGGAGATAAGCGCGGGAGAGACCGTCATTGGACAGTCGCCTATCGGAGACAGGAAGCGCGGGAGCGACAGTCATTGGACGGTTAAATTTGTAGGATAGGTTAGGTTAGAAAATGTAAACAAACGTGTTCAACTGCCGACAGAAAATTATTTTGGATCATTTTATTAGTTATTTGTTTTAAATAAGCATCGTGATCTCATAGTAAGTTCAGTGAGCTGTGCACTGCTGTAATTTAGTGTTGGTATTTGCGTCAGTCATTGGCCTGCCAGATTTTTAGTTTGTCGAAAAAAGATTAGTCTAGCTTATCTTGAGCTGATCGCTGAGAACACCAAATTTGTTTTAGAATTAAGGTATAACTTTCTAAGATTCCTCACAATTCACACCATTGCTTTCCTTCATTCAGGAGCAAGTCACTCTTGAAACACAAATGTCTAATCTTGCCTAAATATTCTGATGCTCAACATATTTACTTACCTACCTACGTATCTCACTAATCGAGTCTCCCCTGGAAGTTGACTGAGGCGGATAATGAAAGGTGGCTGCATCTCGAGTTTATATGCCATTTTAGAGGCTAGTAATGTGCAGAAGGTACATGCTTGACCATGCAATTAGGATGTTATTGATTCCGTGTGACATCAAGAGGGTACGGGATGTGACCACTAGACTGTTCATCCGCCTTGGAGGATGGCAACTGAGTCGGTTTTGGTTTAGGCCTTACATTGGTCCATTGGTGGATTATCCACGTGTATCAACTATGATAATAGTGACAAGTTGTCAAACAGTCCTCTTCTTTCTGTTTGCTGACAATGCATCCCATAGAATAAGCTCTTTTTGAGAGATTGGTACAGATTCCTTTTTAAGCTAGGAACATTTTGTACCGAACCGAAACTCATGACACGAAGCGAAATTTCCTCTGTTGAATGCACAATTTGTGTCTACTGTAAGAAAGGAAGTATTTAATTATCACATCCTGCGATCTATCTATGACTAAGTTGGGATGCCTTTTGTTTCAGAATTTATTCAAATGCCACATTGTTTTGAGGCAAGAAGAAATGAGTATTTTATTTAAAAATGACACTGGATGGTTTATCTCTCATCTTGCGCACTTGAAGAGTATCTACAGAGGGGACCTAGATGATTCAGCACTCACGAATCTAGAGAAACTATTTGACATATCTTCTCCTTTTGCCAAGGTGACTGAAACATCTCTTAAAAAGAAAAGGAAACGAAAAGGTGAAAATTCCGACAATCATGAGCCTACCTCCCTGGAAGAAGTAAGATCACTTTTTTAACTCTCCTTATTTAAAACCACCATAATCTACTGAACATAGCTTAATTCGACCAAGTGAGATGCATTATTTTGAATTAGGATGGTTTATTTCCAAACGGAGTTCTTAAATAAACTGCGTTTATTATCTTGTTTGTTTGCTCCTGAATCCTACCTCCAGAAAAATCTACCTATCACAAATTATGAGAGACTGCATCAATGTCCTAACTTCAATCGTTTTTACGACCATTTTTTTTACATTGCACAACCTTAAAGTATGGCCACCAAATTGCATCAAATTTTGCAAGGATCTAGAACAGGCAGGAATTTGAAATTGTTGATTTTTAGATACCATATTTGACCTAATTCCTTGACTTCTAAGAGCCGTAACATGGTTTTTGAATGACATTCAGTGAAATCTGAACCCTGGTGTTGATAAGAGTCTCAGAAATCACCAATTTGAAGGATGTCAAGAATTTCTGACTTACAAATGTCTTTCTAGGGGGAAAGCAAAACTTGATATCAAATTGTCTCTCCAGCCACTTCATTTCAAAAACTCATGTATTGAATTCTTCATTTCATGCCATCAATTTATGATTGATGTTTTCAGATTGAGTTTATTAGAAAGAAGAGTAATGAATTTCTAGAGGAGCTCAAAGTTGCTGATATGTTTTCAATGAGATTAGAATCAGCGTCTCAAGAAAACAATGCAGAGGCTCAAGAAGTAGCAAAAAACATGTTGAGACTGTTCAAGAGCCCCAACTGTAAATTCAATGGTGGCAACTCTAACGAATCCAATGTAACCGCAATGTGTCATCAAAATCTCTGCATTTTCCCACCAAAGTGCAGATTTTTCAACAGTGATATCCGTGAGATGGATTATGAGTTATTGGAGAAGGAGGGGAGATTCAATGCAATATTGATGGATCCTCCTTGGTGGAATAAATACATAAGGCGTAAAAGGAAGAAATGCACCGTTGAAAGGTCTGTTTTAGTTATTGTGTTCTCCGCATTATTCGATTCAGAAATAAAACAGAAGGAATAGGTATCTAATCTCATATAAACTCATTTATTCAATAATAGTCCCTCAACATTGAGAGAATTAAATATGTTGATTCATAAGAATAACAGAAATTCATGAGATGGATCGGATTTTTAGACTAAAGTCTATTTTTTCCCCCATTAAATTTTCAAGTTATTGAAAGTTTCATCATTTTTGCGATGGTCTGCATCTTCAATCAGTATTATCTGAAGCATATGCACAACATACAACATACTCAGGCATAATCAAACATTTTGAAATCTCAGTTATCAATTAAGAATCATGAACAGGCCATAACTTTAAAAGTGCAAAAAAGATAATCAGGTCTTTTAGTTCCTGGGAAATCAATTTTTTTTTTTTTTTTTTTTTTTTTTTTTTTAAGACTGCTTTATTTATTTGATGTTTCCTCTTTTTTTTGTAGTTATGACATGCTGTACAATGAAGAGTTGCTAAAATTTCCCATGAATCGTTTCTTAGATGAGGCGGGGGTGGTCCTTATTTGGTGCACAAATGCTCCCAGCCACATACTTGAACTTTCAAAAGTATTGCTTCCAGCTTGGAATCTGGAACATATTGCTACATGGTATTGGCTAAAAGTATGTATAGTTTCAAAGTATCACCTTAAAGACTTACTTGGACCATGTTTATCAGAAAGGAACTAACTAAGCCGCATCAGCTATAGCAAAATTTAACCAGGTAATTGAATTTTTTACAAGTGAATGTTTGTGTGGATTCCTTTGAATATTTTCAGGAATTCACTTCGAACTATGGAGATAATTCACTGAAATTTGCACAAAAATTCGTTTTCATGTAAAAAATTAAATTGACCAATTAAATTTGGCAATAGCTGATGTAGCTTGGTTCCTTTCTGCTTTATGCATACTTTTTTACCTACCTAATTGTTCAGTCATTAGTTTTGAAGACAACTTGAAGTATCTATGGAGATGGATCGTCTGGCAGGATCTGATTTTAAGCTTAGTACCAAATAATTTCTTTTCAAAATTTTGCACACAAAAATGATTCTTGCAGTAAAGTTTTTTTGAATCAACCCTGAGTGAAGTATAAACAATTTTAGGTGTTGAATTCAAATGTCCTGCTCATCATCAACCAAAATCATCTTGAGTCAAAATGCGCATTCTATGATGTACTCAACGATTTTTTTTCAAGCTGTAATTTTCTTTTTAGAAAATAAGGAGTGCATTGTATCAAAAGTGAGGACTATGTTTTGTCAAACCTGATGCAATTAGTGTATTAAACAAATGAATTCATTATTGATGGCTATTGAGGTGGATTCTGGTTTTTCATGTAAGTAATCCCTTTAAAATTTTCAAAATAACGCGAAAGAAATATGATGGCACTGTATTGCAAAAGGAATAATTAATACTGCCAAAATCGTATTTAAATCAGGATTTTGATTAGAATATTGCTTAGATTAAGATTATATCCAAGCATGTCTTTCAAAATCAAGAAGAAAAATCAAGTTCATGTCTTTTGATGTAATCTTACGGATCATTTTTTCCTTCTTTTTATAGTGAAGTAGTATTAATTTGTTGTTTCCCCAAAACTCATCAATCAAAGTTTTTTTTTTTTTCAGGTAACAAAAAGTGGCGACCCTGTGTGCCCATTTTCAGAGCCATGTCAAAAACAACCCTTCGAAAGAATCATAATAGCTAGTAGATCACAGGATTTAAAAAGTAAATTTGCAGCTCTGGACAAACGATTAATTCTCAGTGTTCCGAGTGCAATCCATTCTCATAAGCCACCTCTTATTGGTGAGTGTTAATGCATAAAGTTAAAGTTTAGTGTGTTCCCTATGCTGAAAAAGTTAGAAATTCAGGAATCATGAGGAAGCAAATTCTTACAAAAAAGTGTCTAAAAATTCAATGCGGAAAATTAGAATTTTATCCTCTTATTTGAGTTCTCTGTGCCTGTCTCTGAGGAAAACTGAAATCTCCAATGTGCAGCTCCCAAATTTACAGTAGCCTCTCCAGTTAAAATATTTTCTCCTTTTCTGCCTGTGAGTCGATTTCTCAGGGCGTGATTATCTTTTCATTAATCTTCCTTGTTATTATAGATTTTCTTTTTCTAATTTTCCAGATATTTTGAAAGATTTTTTACCTGAGAGCCCTCGGTGTCTTGAAATCTTTGCTCGATATTTGCTTCCAGGCTGGACCAGTGTCGGAAATGAAGTTCTGAGGCTTCAGTGTTCACCAAGCTTTGATACGGATAAAGAAAAGACACAAGTGTAATCCACACTGATCTATTCAGGTGGAATTGAACCAGGTAAACATGTTCTGTGATCAACTTCAGTATGAAAAATTATTTACTAATTTTTTTCTTTCTCATGTCATGGGATGTTGAATTTTAATTATATGATAACAAGCACAAAAATTAAAGAAAAATTTGCTTACTAGGAAATTTTAATTTCTAGATTGGCCTAAGGGCTATATGATTACCCATTCAGTCCTCCTTCCCAAATGACGCCCTTATGTCCATTGTATCTCAACACCATTTTATAGTTTATGCTGACATGAACCTGGGAAGAAAGGTTGTTGGTAACAGGTGTATGTTAGATCATCTAATTTTTAATTTGTATTTTTGAGATCATGCAAGTACTACTTACGCACACAATATGCCACTAAAACTATTTTACAATGCTGATGATGTCATGAGTAAAGTAACAAAAATATATTTTAGAAACTTAAGATTTTTGAGGTGACGAAGTCATGGAGAGACTCTATACAGTGTTTATTTGACAGTGTTCGCCGCTAAACGCTCTTATAAGGTGAGGATTTAGGCAAAAACATTGAATTAAATTAAATTAAGATTGCATTTTTACTTTTGTGGCAAAAAGCGCTCACCCCTCATTGGATGGTGGTTGGCTAACGCCGTGCTTTGAATAAAATCTGTATAATACAAAAGTTTTGATTCAAGCTGTTAAAATTTGTCCCTGTGCTAAGGTGTTGGTTCACTTTAATGACTGCTAGCAGTCACACTGGAACTTTCTAAAATAGCAAACTAACAAAAAACTAGCTAAAAATTGTTCAGTTGTTCTAGTTTACATTGAAAACTTCTAGGTTGCAGAAAAAATTTGCGGCATGTAGGATTTCTAGATTCATATGCAAAGAATAATAATAGAAGTAAGAACAATAATCTCTTGCTAATTAGTATATTCCGGAAATTTTCGTAGCGCCTATCCTACAGGTAAAATTCAAAGTTTCAAAGGGAACTCTGTTGTCATCAAAACATGAACTTTCGTGGAAATATTACTTGGCATTTTCAGCTTAAATATATTTTCCTGAGAAACTTTGATGGAAAAAAAATATTCACTCATTATTCCAGCACTTGCCATTTGAAGAGCAATACAGAATATTGTGGGGCATGTCCGTTCCTACACTTAACTTTACCTGGATGATCTCTAATCATGAAACTTAATTTGTAATATTTTACACGTGCACAGATGTTCATTGAAGTCATATTGTTGAATTTTGTCCCTTAAGATTACCAACTGCCTCTTAAAGCAAACTCCAAATTGCATGCTCATTCCTGTACATTGAAAGTGCCTGGTCTTTATGATGACCATCTTTAAAGCAAACTTCAAAGTATGTGTTAATTTCCATTCACATGCACTCCATTTGTCTTGATAACCGAAGTGGCGATTCCATTTTTCATGTGATCCTCTGTTGTGTCGTTTCGGTATCCTTCAGGGTTCATCGTTTGCCATCTCCAGAAATCCTCACCTGACAAAAATTTTCAAAATTAAAATGATGGTGAAGTGTTGCTTTTACGTTTCTACAACTAATGATAAAGTTTTTGTCCGCTATATTTGAGCTGCGGGTAACTCTTCATCTTCTTACGTCACCAGTCAAAAGCTAAAAAATTAACATCTAGTATTTTTTTTTTTTTTTTTAAACAAAAACAGGGATTCCTTTTCTTCCACATGCATGTGAGAATTCTGCAGGAAACATTTGATTGTGTGAATTAATGTGGCGGATAGCTAGTTTGCACAGTATATCAGATAGTTTGAAAGCCGTTGTTAAACAATACAGTCCACCATCAATTACATCAACTGTAGGTTTTGACATTCTTTATCAAAATATTAAACTATCCTGTAAATTTATTTTTTCCTGTCTTCTTCCGTCAAAGTGTCTAAATATTTTTTGGTATTTCAGTGTTGGACAAGACCTGCTACTCCATTGTTCATTTAACTGCACATCTTCAAGCTCAACTCATGGAAATGGTTACATTCAAAGTCAGAGTGATGAAAACTTAGATGGCAGAGACAATGGTAAGTTTAGATGATTCTCGAAGTTTAAAATCTAAAACTTGAACAAATTATTTTCAAAGTCAAGTTTTTTTTTCGTTTTTTCTCCAAGTCACATAAAAGCCAAAATTTCAGAAATGTGTCTTGAATTTATCAGCCAAAAACGGATTACATACTTTTAAAGATACATTTGAGTAAGTCAGTCACAAATGTGGTCAAAAGAGGTTCTCTCGAAATATTACTCACACATTTGCTCCAGCGAGTATTCAGCCTTCCAATTCAGTTCTTGCTCTGCCATTCGAGTGTTTGCATACATTGAAACTATGTCGCCATTCCTCCTTGGGTGTGTTTCATATGGGACTGTGGTGTTTGTTACTTTTTCAAACGTCTTGATCAGTTGCTTTACAGTGACTGGATTACCCGTCCCCAGGTTGAACGCCTATGACAAGAGATTGATCGGTCTTAAATTTTGTACAGGACAGTTTTCTTTTGTTTCTAATTCTTGGACCCAATTTAACATCTGTTAGCAAAGTCTACTTTTAGTGTATTTCCTGAAGGAAATACGCTTGGCGTCTTTTTATATCAAATAGAAGAAAACCTGTGGAATCCAGGGGAAGGAAACCAAATTTCTTGGTAAAGAGGAAAAGATTTTATGTTTTGAAAGTGATCAGTAGTAGTTGCAGATATCTGCACTCTGGTTGACTACTGTCTTTTTGACTCCTATACATGTTACAATTGTCTTTCTTGACCTTCAGTTTTGAGTCTATCAATTGCATGATGTGACAAAAAATTTAAATTACTCTTACCTTCAAGCGCAGGTGACTTCTTTGTAATTTGTTTAAAGCTGCAACATGACCCGTGGCTAAATCCATGACATGGATGTAATCTCGAACACCTGAAAAATTGTTGAACTTTTCAATTTTTGTCGGTTCTGTCTTGTGAGCTCTAATGTTCTTAATATCTCGGATTCATTTTATACGGAGCATAAACACCTGGTTTATGAAAGATGAGTCAAAATCAGAGCTGAGCAAATTTTAGTGCTGTGAAATGGAAATATCCCTAATTTATCGCTGCAGATTTCTCCTTACCTAGCTCTTTGAAGGTGGCTTTGCTGCTTAACTAAAGAATAGCACAAAGAATAATCGAAGAGTCCTCATGTAGAATCCAATCCTGTTGAATATTTAACCTGATTTTTCATAATGAATGTATCCTACCTGTGCCATCTTCTGTGTCATAGTCGTCTCCAAAAATTGTCAGTGCAGGTTTTCTCCCCATTGCAACTTGTGCAACGTAAGGCATGAGATTTGTAAATGGTTTTGTTGGGTCCTCGCCTATAAGTCCAGAAGGATGAGCTCCAACAGGATTAAAGTAACGCAAAGATATGATATTCCATTTCTGAAAACAGAAGATAGAATTTTTTTATTTTTTACTTGCCTTAAATTAGTATGAGGTCGTCTGAGTGATTACATACTACACATATTAGTGCATTTTGATAGTAAAAGTTTTAAAACACAAATTTAGGCTTTTAATGTTTCTGTTTTCTTATCCTCTTCTATCTTTTAGAAAAAAAACCAACTAAAAAAGTCTCATGTATAACATTTTTTATTTAGATAATGTATAAATTAATCTCAAAGTTTTTGGCGGAGTAATCAATGCATTTTTTGCGCTAATATCCTCGTTTTATTACGAGATTTTACCTCATCAGCAGTCGAAATGTCCTTTAAAATTTCTTCTGTGAAATATTTGGTCCTGCCGTAAACATTTGTAACATTGCCTGTGGCATGATTCTCGGTTATTGGGAGCTCTGTTGGATTGCCGTAGATTGTGCAAGAACTTGAGAAAACCAGTTGCTGACATCCATTGTGTTTCATCACCTGAAAAAATAAAGTGTATGTAACAAGGGTTTTTAACGCCTTGAAAGATCTTTTTTTCTCAAATTTGAGTAAGTTGCGTAAATGTATTTGGGATTCTTTAAATTCTATGTCAATCGCTGTCTTTACATAACTGTTTAGAAGAATGGTCTTATTTTTTCTCAGGTATGGGAATGTCCAATAACATTATCTATGTGTTTTATCTCTTCATTTAGTTTTGAGGCAATAAAGATATAGTGACAGGTAATTTTCATTTTTAATGTTTTATAAATTCTGTCAGTTTTTGAAATTCTTTGAAATTTTTGGAAGCCAGTAAATCATCTTTCAGAGTTTGAGTCTATTGATGAGAACTCCCTAAAGGCTTTTTTATTTCTGTGGAAAGCGTGGAATGCGACAGATTGGGATCTTTGAGGTTCGGGCTGGTTCAACTGCAGCCTCAACCCACCATGGAAGAGCAGTCCAAGCATTCCACTGGAACGGATTGAACGAGCTGGAACGCGCCAGTGGAACGGGATAAAAAAGTGATGCGCTCCATAGCGATCCTCTGTGGTTCGGATAAAAAAAAGCCCTCTATTTGGCCCTCCAAAGTCTGTGATTTTGGTCCAGGACGACTATCATGAACTGTGTGTTTGGTGTGCCGTTATCATAAGAACAGAGATCTCAGTTTCAAAGGGAAATAGGGTACTCTGACGAGAATGAGTTGTAGGAAAAGTTTCTCAAAATATTAATTGGCGAAATGGGCATTCAAATAGAAATGCTACCTATAAAATTAATCATTTTACACTCTGGGGACTATTGCCATAGTCACTCTTGATTGTTTTGATCAGTGGGAGTCCTGACATAGAACTATATTTTAACATTTAATGTGGGTGATGTGAAGTCAAATTTTATCAGGTTTCCTTTTTTGATTTGATACCAAGAGAAATGTATATTGCCCTTACCTCTAGTAAATTAATTACACCTATTAGATTGTTCTTATAGTAGAGAAGAGGGTTTTCCATAGATTCTCCAACAGCTTTCATTGCTGCAAAGTGTATCACACAGTCAATGTGGTGCTAGATGAAAAAAGAATCAATCATTAGTGCATTGGTCAGTTTCGCTTGTGCATCCATTTAACTTTTCGCGATAAAATTTTGCCATTGAAATTACATTAGTTTAGAGCAGCGGTTGTCAACCCCTTCATCTTGCGGGCCTGCTAGGTTCTACTTGACCTTCTTTGGGTGGAAAAAATCCTCGAAAGAGATCAGAGTAAAGTGCGTTTTTTAAAGTTTTTGTAAACATAAAGTTTGAAACAAAAATTTGAAGGAGCAATGAATAGTAAAGAGCAGATAACTGATGGACTAGAATTAAAGTATCACAGTGCGGGCTGATTGTTGAAATTGATAGACAAAGCGATAGACAAAGAAGATATTACAAGTATAGAGCGGTCCTGTTGGTTGTAGTGTGTGGTTCTTATAGACAAAGGGAGGAAATGATGGACTAACAAATGGGTCTCTCGTGGGTTGCCGTTAGCTAGTCTATTAGGTATCTACTTCCTTTGTCCATTTCAACCACCTTTTACCACCAATAGGATCCCTCCAAATCCCTTTTGTCTTTTTTGTCTATAGCTTTGTCTATAAATTTCAAGAATCAGCCTGCAGGAAGTTTTTACTGTCGAAAATCAAGGCGTGAAAATCTTCAAGTTTGGCCATGGATATAGAAGAGGAAATATGAGGATCACCTTGGAGAAAACATCCTCGAGAGCCACGCGATCCAAGAGATCACAGCGGTAGAAGGTGAGCTTTTTCCCGGTTATCCTCTCGACCCGGTTCAAGCTGGGAGCCTTTCCGTTTCCGGGCACCGAGTTGGCGAAGTTGTCGATGGCGATGACGTCATAGCCGGCGTTGAGCAACTCCACGATGCAGTGGCTCCCGATGTAACCGGCCCCTCCGGTTACGAAAACTGTGCGCCATTGTGACATCTGAAACCGCGTCAGAACATGATCGCTAAGGAGGTTTTCCGTACTGCCGTGCCAACATTAGCGGATCCAGCAACTTGGCAACACCGGATTTCATCCATTTAAACCTATGAAAATGTATCGATTCTTGGAGGAGCCAAGTGCTCCGAAAAGAATCGATTACTTACCATAGGTTTAAATGGAGGAAATCTGGTGTTGCCAAGTTGCTGGATCCGCCTCTGTGTGCCAAGCAAGAACGTCGTGTGAACATTCCGAAAATGCCAACTGGACCGCGTTTAGCAGAAAGGAACCAAGGCACATCAGCTATCGCCAAAGACTGGGCAATTCAATTTTTTACAGGAGAACGTTTGTGTGGATTCCATCGAAAATTGTGGATTCTGTTGAAAATTTTAAGGCATTTGCTTCGCATTATGCAGAAAATTCATTGAAAGCACAAAAATCGGCCCAACCGTTTTTATATAATAAATTGAAGTGTCTAATTAAAGTGGGCAGTAGCAGATGTGGCTTGGTTCTTTTCTGCTTGTTGACAGAATTGAGCCTCAGTTTGGCGAGCCGAAGGCTCGATCAGCTCTACAAACCGAAAAAATTGTTTCTCATGTAATATGCTCCATATCGACCTAAATTTTTGGGTTCGATGATCTGAAACTTCAGTTCAACGAACTGACAATCGGTTCTATCGATGGAAGCGGTCAGTTTGTTCAATCTCAGAACCGAAAAGTGTCCGCTGAACTATTCGGTTCGTATAGTTCTTCCCTGGTGAGGCAGCTTACCTCATCTAAAATCGATATTTGTAATGTTTTAAATGTGGAAAAACAGAGTGTTGCTAACTCGCAAAATCGCTACTGATCGAGGCCTGTCGGTCGATGCCTCGCATGCGGGAGGAAACTTCATTTTCAGCGTAATCGTATGTATGAACACAGTCGAGTAACAGTGTCAAGATGATTCTTAGATACAGATCATTTTTATTAGTACCACGGACCATGCATTTTTCCTTAAAGTGTCATCAAGACCGGCCAAGGCATCGCATTTTGGCTAGTTGTTTTGTATGCCCGTTCGTTCAAGTCTCCAGCCTTATTACATCCCTACAACGCACCTACAGCGGAAAACCAGTTTCGGCAACTGCAATTCTAGCCAGCTATCGAAAATTTCGATTGTGAGTGCTGCCGTGAAGGAAAAAACGTTTGAACTTTTGAGAGTTGCAAAATTTCCTCTGTATGGTAAATTTTTTTAAGAAGAGTTGAGAAAATTTTCTCTTGAAAAAATTTTCTGAAAAAATTGATGAAAAACATTCCCAGATTTCCTTGAAAATTTGTATTTTAACGGAGAGAATTCGGCAACATCTGGGGGGTAATACGGCGTTCTTCCTTAGCTCGGCAGAGTGGAGGCGCCATTCACGACGAGGAAAATTATTTTTGCCGCAAAGAAAACCAAAAGTGAAATAAAACGATTGTATCAGAATTATAAATATTTCACCACTTGAAAACTTTCGTTGTCAGGACTGGGAAGTGGTCGGACTCAAAAAAGCTTAATTGCGACGCAGCATTGCCAAGTCTCGTCGGACAGCTTATTTATTAATTGACGGGTGTGTGTGTATGTTTTTTTTTTACATCGATAGGGCANCACGAAGATTTGGCGAGGAACAGCCAAGGAAAGAGCGCGCCGCCAACCGCTCAACCCCCACTTTCACCCCCTAGCGCCTTAAAAAGTGGTTGTAAGTAATTTTTACGGTCAGAAACGGAAAGTACGCGAAAAGTTACGTAGGAAAACATGTGATGGGTGACATCAGAACGAAGATTTGGCGAGGAACAGCCAAGGAAAGAGCGCGCCGCTGGCCGTTCAACCCCTATTTTCACCCCCTAGCGCCTTGAAAAGTGGTTGTAAGTAATTTTTAAGACCAGAAGTGGAAAGTACGCGAAAAATTACATAGAAAAGCATGTAACGAGTGACATCAAAACGAAGATTTGGCGAGGAACAGCCGCGGAAACAGCGCACGCCAGCCGTTCAACTCCCCCACTTCACCCCCCCGTATCTCCGAAACCGCTTTTCAACTCAAGCTGAAATTTTTACCAGAGACTTCGGGCATCATATGCAACAATTTGGCGCAATTCCCGTTTGCAAAATCGAGGGCCTAAAAAGGGGCGAATTTCGACCCATTTTTAACAAGGCTCTTTTATGGCATTCGTATTATGCAGAAAATAGAGAATTTGCAGGTGTCTGAAATTTGATGGATTTTGTGTTCAAGTGGAAACTACGGAGTGAACTGAACACGAGGATACCCTTGGTTCATGAATTGAACAATTATTGAAGAAGATATGACAAAATTACCTAATCTGCTGAAAAACCTGCGTGTTCAAATGGAAAATGCCGCCAGATGACGCCACTAGACGGTGCATTTTCTGACTTTTAAACCTATTTCTGTACTGTTTCCCATGTCAGAAAAAAATTATAAAAAATACTGTGAAATCAGCTCTTTCAGCACTTTCAGACGAAGCAATACAAAATTTGCATGCATATTCTCCATTCACTGAAATTTGCTTAAAAATCCGCCCAACCGTTTTCATATCAAAAATTGAATTGCCTTATTAAATTTTGCAGTAGCTGATGTGGCTTGGTTTCTTTCTGATTAATTCGATCCAACTTTTTTTTTCTTTAATAAAATTTTTACTTTTTAAGAAAGTTATGAATATTTTTCCTCGAAATTTTCCGGAACTTCAAGTGAAATTGCAAACAAAATTATCTGAAAAGTTGGAAGAAAAATTTTCCTAAATTTACCAGGATATTCGTGTTTTATCAAAGGGGATTTGGCAACGCCTTAGGCTTCATACGGCGTTTTTCCTTAGCACAGCAGTGTATGTCTATGCATGTCTGTGATCGATCGTATGGTTTGCGAACCGAATAATTCAGTGGCCGCTTTTCGTTCCAGAGGGCCGATTCCTCAGTCGAGATAACCAACCGCTTCAGTTGACAGAACTGAGCCTCAGTCCGGCGAGCCAAAAGCTCGATCAGCTCTACGGACCGAAAAAAATTGTTTCTCTTGCAATATGCTCCATATCGACCTAAATTTTTCGGTTCAATGATCTGAAACTTCGGTTTACCGAACTGACAATCAGTTCTATCGATTGAAGCGGTCAGTTTTTTCGATCTCAGAACCGAGCAGTGTCCACTGAACTATTCGGTTTGTATGGTTCTTCTCTGGTGAGGCAGCTTACCTCATCTAAAATCGATATTTTCAATGTTTTAAATGGTGGAAAAACAGTGTTGCTAACTCGCAAAATCGCTTCTGATCGAGGCCTGTCGGTCGATGCCTCGCATGGGGGAGGAAACTTCATTTTCAGCGTTACCGTACGCATGAACACAGTCGAGTAACAGTGTCAAGATGATTCTTCGATGCAGATCATTTTTATTAGTACCACGGACCATTTATTTCTACTTAAAGTGTCAATAAGACCGGCCAAGGCAGCGCATTTTGGCTAGTTGTTTTGTATGCCCGTTCGTTCAAGTCTCCAGCCTTACTACATCCCTACTACGCACCCATAGTGGGAAACCAGTTTCGGCAACTGCAATTCTAGCCCGCCATTGAAAATGTCGATTGTGAGTGCTGCCGTGAAGGAAAAAGCGTTTGAACTTTTGAGAGTTGCAAAATTTCCTCTGTATAGTAAATTTTTTTAAGAAGAGTTGAGAAAATTTTCTCTTGAAAAAATTTTCTGAAAAAATTTATGAAAAACATTCCCAGATTTCCTTGAAAATTTGTATTTTAACGGAGAGAATTCGGCAACATCTGGGGGCTAATACGGCGTTCTTCCTTAGCTCGGCAGAGTGGAGGCGCCATTCACGACGAGGAAAATTATTTTTGCCGCAAAGAAAACCAAAAGTGAAATAAAACGATTGTATCAGAATTATAAATATTTGACCACTTGAAAACTTTCGTTGTCAGGACTGGGAAGTGGTCGGACTCAAAAAAGCTTAATTGCGACGCAGCATTGCCAAGTCTCGTCGGACAGCTTATTTATTAATTGACGGGGGTGTGTGTGTGTGTTTTTTTTTTTTTACATCGATAGGGAATTATCGTCGAATCACCAAGAAAGTTCATATCAAAATTTACAGCTAAATTTGATATCGTTTTTTTGAGTAATTAATTGCTAAAGAAACGTCGCAACATCGAAATGACATTAGAGTTTCGCACTGCATGCCGTGTTAAGTAAAAACGCCGTATGGAAGTTTGGACGTTGCCAAATTTCTCCCACTCAATCATTATGTTGTAAGGAGTCATGAATATTTTTTTTGAAATTTTCCGTTGCTCTAAATCATAACGCGATCGAAACTCTTTGAGAACCAGGAAGAAAAATATCAACAAGTTTCCTTCAAAATTCTCGTCGTGTCCGAGAGTATTTGGCAACGTCTGAAAGCTCATACAGCACGTTCCTAGCGCGGTGGCTCTGGCTTTGACCCTTCCAACCGAACTGGGCTTAATGAACAGCTTCTTTAAAGCAACATGTATCTCCCCTAGCTCAACGAGAAACTCTTCTCCCGTGATAATGAACGACAGTTTTTCTTAGTGCGTTTTTACCGAACAAAATGAAGTAGGAAAAAATGGACGGAGTGACTCACCTTGAGTGCCTGGCGGCTGTTTCTCGGACACAGAGACGCAACACTGATTACGTCTGATTCTGGATCCTCGGGAGTGAATGGTGGAGCGAGGACAGGTGGACTGCCGTG